TATCAATACTTATCCTGTCATTATTCTCATTGCTAGAGTAATCAATATTACTATTATATTCATTACCATTATTGTTGAAGTTGGTTTCATCATTATTGTCATTATAATCATTATTGTTATCATTATCATTTTTGTTGTTTTTACTATAATGATAATAATGCTAGCCATTATGGAATTATCATTATCATTATTATCATTATCATTATCATTGGTTATTATTATCACTATCATTGTATTTTTCATTAATGTTATTATTATTATGTTATCATTATCATTTGTGTTTTCATTTTTAGTATTGTTATTTTACATTACTATTTACTATACGTACTGCTACTTCTACTACTACTAGTAATAGTTGCATAGTAGTAGTAATGCTATTATCGTTATTACTATCATTATTATCATTTTCATAATAATCATGATTATCAGTTTCATAACTATCATCGTTACTATCAACATTGTTTTCATAATTATATGAATCATTAAAATTATTATTATCATTAATATTATTATCATTATTATGCTGATGTGCTTGGTATCATCATCATTGTTATTATCATTATTATTACTCTCATTATAATTCATCATTACCATTATCATTATATTTAATTATCATCATCATTGTTGTTGTTGTTGTGGTATTATTATTATTATTATTATATTTTATTTTTTTAAATTTTTTATCGTTATTATTATTATTATTATTATAATCATCATTATCATTATTACTATTATTATTATTATTATTATTATTATTATTTATTATTATTATTATCATTATTACTTTTATTATATTATTACTATTATTATTAATATTACCACTATTATCATTTTATTATTATTATTATTATTATTATTATTATCATTATTATTATTATTATTATTATTACTATTATTATTATTATTATTATTATTATTTATTATTTATTATTATTATATATTACCACTATTATTATTATTATAATTATTATCATCATTTATTATTATTACCATTATTATTCGATCATCATCATTACTGATACCATCATCACCATCTCCATTATCATATTTATTGTCATTATAGTTATCATCATTATTTTTGTTATTTTTACTATTACTATAATTACTATTATTACTATTATTATTATGATCATTATCATTATTGTTATTATTAATATTATTGTCATTATCATTACCATTATTATTGCCTTTATCAATATCATTACTACAATGATAATAGCTATTATTATTATCATTATTATCATGATTATTACCATCATTATTATTGCTCCGCCAAAAAGGTAATGCCTTTGATAACGTTGGTTAGTTTATTTGTTGCTTCAGTTACCCTTATTGCCAAGGAAATATGGGTAACTATTATTATTATCATTACCTCTATTACCTCCACCAAGGAAGTTATGTTTACGGACGTCACCTGTGTACCTGGCAAAGAGGTTATTTTAATGTGAATATTTTTTTAGGTGTCTGTGATCCTATTGCCCTGTGAAGTATGTGCTCTCTGAGTGCTTTTAGTTGTCATCATTATTATCATTAATTTGATATAAATATTATTGTCATTATCATGATTATCATTTTTGTTATCTCCATCATCATCATTATCATTAATTTGATATAAATAATTATTTGTCATCATCATGATTATCATTTTTTGTTATCATCTCCAATCATCATCATCATTACTATTTATATTATCAGTATCAGTATCATCATGTTTATTATAATGATTATCACCATTATCATTTTCATTATTATTATTTTACTATTATTATCATTATCATTAGTAGTAGTATTACCATTATTATTACTGTCATTATCATTGCTATTGTAATTGATATTATCATTGGTATCATAATTCCTTATTCTTACTATTGTTTTTGTTATCCTTGTTTCATTATTATTGTTATTATCATCACTATTAGTTTAAGTATTAGTATTAGTACTGGTATTATCTTTATATATTACATTATGGCATTGATGTTATTCTCTATCAGTATTTATTTATGGTTCTTCTTCCTCTTCTCTTCTTCTTCTTTATGATTATGATTATTATTATTATCATTATTATTATTATTATCATTATTGTTATTTATTATTATTATTATTTATTATTATTATTATTATCATATTATTATATTATTATATTATTACTTTATTTTATTTATTATTATTATTATTATTATTATTATTATTATTATTATTATTATTATTATTATTATATTATTATTTTATTATTATTATTATTATTATTATTATTATTATTATTATTATTTATTTATTATCATTATATATTATTATATTATTATTATTACGAATATTATCATTCATTACCAATTACTATTATTAGTTTTATTATTATTCATTTCATCACTATCTTCTTATTACCCATCATCATTCTCATATTTAGAAATGTTATTTTCACTATCTTTACAATTATCAACATTACATTTAACTGTTTCATCATCGTCGTCGCTATTGTCACTAATGTTATCTGCTGTTTTCA